AATGCATTTAACACACACATGGAATTACAAGGTATGACAGTAAAGAAACAAGATTGTGATCACTTTCATTAACATGTCTAAGTTATGTCATTATATATAAACACTTATTCCCCTACCAAATTTGTTTAACTTTATCACAATTTTTTAATCTGTTAACACACTTGCGCTGGGTACAATGCTAGATCGGAGCTTGTGCTCTGATTTTGTTGGCCGTGATGGGCGGTGGGCCAGCCGGTTCCCGGACTGGCCCATGCGCTGAATTTGAAGCCTGGAAACTATTATTTTTGGCTTGAAAATGTACCGGCGCTAGTGGGTTAATCATCACCCATTAATTTTTCATTTCATTTTCACCATCAGGTTTCTATGGACTAAGTCCTATTTCTTTACAGCCTTACAAGTCATTTAGGTTCATTAACATAACTGACTAACTTAACCCTTTTGAGATGGGCTGAATGTGACTATGCAACCCACACTGATGGGTATGTTTTGAGTGCATGGCTGCAACATGTGGGTGTGAGTGAGTGCTATACATAGTATTCATTCCTTTTTTTTCTGAAGCATCAATAACAATCATCCTTATATATTTCATCTTTAAAAAAATAATCAAAAACATTTTGGGATTTTTTTTATAGAAATGATGCAGTAATTGTATTACTTTCTCTCAATATGATTTTCCTGAAAAATTCTAAAATATACTGATAATACATTTTTAATATGATTGTGTTCTGTTCTACAATGAAGACTGTGTAAAGCACAGCCATGTCACAATTCGATGAATATTCTAGGTTTTGTAAAGGAATAAAGTTTTGACAGAGTAACCAAGGTTAATGGTAAAAAAATTTCCATAAAAGCAGAGGACAAAATATACCCAAAAAACAAAAAAATTGATAGTGGGGACCCACTGTTGCTTAACCTGTAAACTGTACAATAGGGTTCTGGCGGTTATACCCGTATTGTGCAATTATCTGGGTAAAAAAACAAACACCATTTCAAGATATATGGGAATGAAATATAGGCCACCATGTTTAAAAATAGCCTTCACATCATGTGATGCAAGTCGCACTTACACGCTGTTCATCCTATGATGTATGCCGCAGTTTACAGGCTAAGCATGCCCCTTAAAGGGACCCTTCACAGAAGGGTTAAGGAGAGAGCTTTAGTTTTAAAAAACAAATTTTGATTGTAAGGTACAAGTGAGACCAAAGATTCTGCATATGTGTTCTACTGTCAATTATGCAATATACCATAACCATCATTGTAAAAAAAGAAGAAAAAAAGTACATGGTTTCTCATCACAGAATGCCTACTACTGAAACATTATTTTTCATCCTTAATTTGAGCTGAATAATGAATATACACAATACATACTATATAACAGAAGATAGAATACTGAGATCTATCTATTTACTACATGTTTCTATATATCACAAAGAACTTTATATACTGTCTTTTATCAGAGAACAGAAAGAAAAATAAGAATCATGAAACAAAAAATAATAATGATTATATATAAAATACATTTTCATATATATATATATATATATATATATATATATATATATATATATATATATATATATATATATATATATATATATATATATATATATATATATGTACAATGATAAACTGTAAATAAAAATACAATCATATCAAGTCACTAAAACAATTTCTTTCTGTCTCCTTTTCCCATCAACCTGATTCGCATTTGACTATTTCTTCATCACCTCCAGCACCGAAGGTTTCAGTATAAAATATTCATGTTCATAGGCTCTACCTGAAGAAAATATAGGTAATTTTAAAAAGAAATTAAAAATATATATCAAATGAATAATATGTTCAAGTAACAATAATAATAGTAAGAAAAAAGAGTATTTGTACTATTGTTTTCTCTCTTTCCTTAAAAATCCGAGTTTGATACATTTTTTATCTATCTTTTTCATCTTTTTTACATCACATTATGATACGACATTTTTTTTTCTTTTTCTCTTGTACAGTTAAAAAATTCAAATGGAATCATCCCTCTATACTTCAGAATCCACAAAAAATAAAAACGAAAGAAAAAATATACATATACTTTCATTCTTATTCTCCAAAATTTAACGTTTCACACGGAAACCAAAAGGTTAACAAAAGCAGTATGGTCTTACCAAGCTAGGAAGACTGGCACTATTAGAGCCAAAGTTATCAAAATAAGCTAAAACATTATAATTTTTTCTTCCAGATATGTTCCACACATACAATCTTACTACTTTATTTTGTTTTCCCTCCTTTAGCTTTCTTTGGTATGGCAAATTAGCAATGCACGTTACTCATTGCTTTATTTCCCCATTAAAAAAAAAAAGGATGATAGTCCATATTAAAAATAAAATCACAAAATTGACCAACAACTGAGCAAACCCTGATTGATGCACCTCTAAAACAAAAGGAAATCATATTGTTGAATTTGTATTTTATGGTCCGTACAACTCAAAATTGTATGTTTCTTCACCTAACCATATGATTAACATAATATTGCAATACCCAATTCATCTATATAAAATATTTCTAAAAATGCTGAAAATCTATACACATTCACTCCTCTATTGTGTATTTCTTTTGGAATATGAAACTTGTATATACAGTATATACAATGGATATATACAGTGTGACAAGCACATAAATCATCTTTCCTTACACACCTAATATGAGTCCTTCCCTACCAAATACAACGTCACAAAGATTTGGCACACGCCTGCCCACAAACATATAGCAATGAGCCACATGTAATGCTGAAGGGGCGAGGAAAAGGGATTCTTCACCCCCATGCCGATGTGCTCTAGGGTCATCTTTCTCGCATAATGGACCAAAGTGGCAGGAACAACATACTGTGAAGGAAAAAGGGAGACTGCATTGGCTGTATTCTGGTTATACATGTTTTCAGAAAGCATTGGTTTGAACAATATCTGGGATATCTTATGAAGGAATAGCAAGTTGCTGAGTGAAAAACATAGTAAGTTTACATTATGTAGTAGATAATGATTCTAAAAATATTAGACAAGTGGTTTTTACATTTTCCAAATAGTTAATGACGTAGCAAAAGACTAATAAGTTCCTGTGAGAGCTTAAAGTTCTCACAGTACACACACAAAAAGAAGAAGGAAGGAAGGAAAGAAGAAGAAGGAAGAAAGAAGAAAGAAGAAAAAAAAAAATAACAGTACACACACAAAAAGAAGAAGGAAGGAAGGAAAGAAAGAAAGAAAGAAGAAAAAAATAAATAACATAAATAAAAATACTTTCAGTGTTGACGGCCTAGCTCGTTAAAAGTAAAAACAGCACTCTTGGCAAGGCTTCCTCACATGAAGGAAATGTACCTAAGTAGCTACATCCTTACCTGAATAATGGAGCCAGCGTAGGCCCCTGTGATTCCCACCAGGAATTCCACGTTGGAGGTGACGAGGCCAACGATTGTGGGCGGGATAATGGCCAGGAGCGGGAAGAGGCATCGTGAAGTAAAGAAGGAGTACCGTCGCGTTTCCCTAAGGAAGAGACCCTTGAGGTTGTTCCGCAGAGTGATGGCTATGATGGGGAAGTTGGTGCTTAAGGTAAACACTGGAAATAGTAGTAGGAACACCTGTGGAAACAGTGCAATAAATATTAAATTTATATAAAGTGTATTCAAGGAGTGTAGAGTGTGAGAAGGGTATATGATAAGCAGGAATTGACTATTACACTATCTATTACAACACAGGAAGGTAGGGGGGTTATGTATAATAATGTAAAACACCTGCAAATAAACTAAGCAAACACGTCTACCCTACATCAATAAATTTCCAAAAATCAAACATTACCTGAAGACAGTAAATTGCAATTGGAGTATCAACATCTTTACACCTGTCTGGCTGGAAGTTCAGGGTGTAAAGGTCATTGAGGTGCGCAAAGGCAAAGATCCCGGTAAATGCCAACAGCAAGTAAAACAGAAGAATCAACAGGTAATCTGCACCTAATAGCTGCAAGGAAAAAAAATCAATAAATGAGCATAAATAGTAGCAGCAGCAAAAAAAAAGGTAAAACACAGTATTTCTAAGTGGGAAAAAGTTTCTATAGTTATAATGCAATACAAGAATTGTACATGAATAATTAGTACTGAATTTTTTAGAGCATTTCATGCAAGAAAATATCATAAAGAAAGGAAATAATAATAACAATGTGTACACATAAGCATCAATTACACGTCACCCCACCAGTGACAAGTACACACTGCCCTCGGCGGCTTTGATTTTCTACTTTTGTTTACACATAGATAACTTCAGAAGTGCTTTTGCTGATAGCCAAGAATTCAATTACTAGGTTTAACTCATCTCATTTTTATTTATTAATTTTTTTTTATCCATTCCTTGATTTTCTGTGATTAAAATTATTCCAATTTCAATCATCATCATTATTAATCATAATAATTCTATTCCTATAATAACTACCATTACCATGACTACAAACCAATAAGAATAGGAACAAAAACTTTAACATTTCTGTAAATTCAAAGTGAGGTCTGACAAGTCTCGTAATGAAATCCTTGGCGATTATGGACTTCTGATGCATTTGATTCACAGACAAAATTAATCAAGCAAAATCACTGTGGACAGTACAATTTTACTAAATACATGCACTACAGGTATCAACAGACTGATCTATGTTCATGTATGTATATATTTGTATGTATACATACATATATATACATATACACATATATACATATACATATACATATATGCATATATATACATATACATATATACATATATATACATATATATAATACATATACATATACATATATATATATATAATATATATATATACATATACATATATATATATATATACATATACATATATACATATACATATATATATACATATATACATATATACATATATATACATATTACATATATACATATATATATACATATACATATATACATATATACATACATATTATACACATATCATATATAATATACATATATAAATATAAATATAAATATAAATATATATATATATATATATATATATATATATATATATATATATATATATATATATATATATATATATATTATATATATATACACACACATCTTTATTCTCCTATTTTACTTTTATTTCTCAATGATTTCTCTAATGACTACAAACTGACATGTACCATGCATGCATTGTACCATATATAGACATGTTTTCAGTCACAAGATCTCCAATCTAAATTCCTAGATCTACTATTCATAAATGGAGCAATACCATGTAATGCTTAAGTTATATTACATGATCTTAAGCTACAATAAACTAATTTAGGTACTACAAGTTTTATATAGATTTAAGGGCAATGTTTCATGAAAAAAGATATGCCAGCGGTTCTTAACCTCAATTCACCCGAGCCCCAGGGGTTCTGTGGACCAGTTCCAGGGGGTTTGGCAATTTTGTGAACTTAATTTTGTGAACAAATGCTGCCAGACCTTTTACTTTACTTTTGTGATTAGCCTAAATAATCTTGAGTTTTGATGCAATTTTGATATCTTGTTGATTTTAAAAATTGATTTTTTTATGTCATATTTTACAGTCTGGCAAATATGCAATATCTTTTGTTAGGGTTTTTATGCCTTTAGAAAAGTTAAGAACCACTGTATTAAGAGGAAATTTATCAAGTCAAGCAACCTTACATCCCCTTACATTACATTATAATCAGATTTTGGTACAGTGAGTTGACCTTTATAACCAGAATACTGTGTAAAACATCTACTATTACAATTAAAGGTGAAACTTCATCAAATAATAACCATAACATAACCAATGACTGTGAGTGGGTGCAAAACAAACCTTCAAAATAGACTTCTTTTCACTTATTGGCGTTATGAGTGCTGGTAAGGAATGGTGACACATAAAGCTATATACGCACACCCCAAACAACTGAGGGAGCTTGGTGATATCGGCCGCAGGGGGGTGACCCTGGTTCTTCCCTTCCGCCAAGAGCACAATGGCCCACGTGATCATGGTGCCCATCGCTGCAAGGCAAGCATGCATTGGTTATTAGGCAGGCTGTACACTTTATGTTGAGTCCTTTAATTCTTTTTACTGTGTGTGGATGTATGTGTATATAGAATTTATATACTGGATGCATATCATTCTCAAATTTGGTGTGTTTTTACTTTTATATACAGAAAAACAGACACAGACACAGACACACGCACACACACATAGTTAGACATACCTTTGTGCATACAAGTACAGTCGTACATACACACGCACAACCACACACACACACATGCACATTCTCTCATTATCTCATTCACACTCACAGTCACCCTCAATCACACTCGCAATCACACTCACACTCACCCGCACACTCACTCTCTCACTCAAGAAAGACAATAAGAAAAAGAAAACATTTCCTTAATCCTAATCTATGCAAATAAAAACTTACTTACCGAGCCACCTTGTGATGGTAGTCAAGATCTGCATGTACTTAGTCTTTGTGAGATTGAAGAAGACGAAGGGACCCATGACCCCAACAAAGCTAAACTGTAAATAAAAAAATAAACAATAGTAATACATTAAAAAGTAGTGCGATTCATTTTGAAAAACTGATACAGAGATAACACCAACATATAAGAAATGGTTGCATAGTTTATCTCCCTCTATAAAATTTTTACATCAAGACATATGTATTCTATTCACATTAGTTGTGTGTTTTATCAAAGTAGTTGCGTGGATCTAATATATGACTCCATATGCAATAAGAGTAGAAAAAAAAAAAAGTGACAAACTTGACAATATTTCAAATAAAACACACCTTCTCTACTTCATTACGGGCATACCACAAAATATTCCTATAGCAAAGCCTTGTTCAGAAAGTAAAGTAAAAAAATAAATTAATTAATAAACAAAAAAATAAAGGACTTTAAAACTTTGATCCATAATCACCGAGAACAGAGTAACACTTACAGTACAGATTCTATACATTTCCATTCTGGACATGTGGGATCGACTAGAATCGGTGAAACATGGGTCAGAATCTAACAGTTCCTTGGTACAGTTCTCAGGCACATAATCACTGAAATAAAAAAACAAATATAAAAACGAAACATGGACAGAAACATCATATTTGTCTAAAAACCCTATATCAATAAAACTCATAGACTGTGAAGTGGTCTAAAACAAAAGACGAGAAAAAGCTTTAAAATTTTACAAATTCAATAAAACGTGATTTCCAATTTCCTTTCTCCTTTAAAAATAAAAATTTCTGAAGTCACCATCTATAAACAACTCCGTAAAACATCTACAGGCTGGTAGATGCTTATGATGCCTATGTACCTCAGTATCTTAAAACAAGTATTCTTAAGCATCCCTTCATATATTCATCAGTGACAAAATCATCTTCAATAGCTTTCTGATCAAAACATTTCACCCCACTCACAAAAGCTAATTTGTCAAAACAATGAGTGAAACTAATCGAAACTTGACAGATTATAAACTTACCAGATTATGTCTCTGAGAGACTTGGCAACTGCCGCTTCATATATAGCAAGGTCTCCATACAGGTATACGCAAAGCACAATGTAAAAAACTTTAACCCATACTGGAAAAGAAAAATCATATTACTGCTTGTGATCAAGAATGAAGAAGAAGAAGAAGAAGAAAAAGAAATACAGGTAATAAATAAATAAATAAATATGAATCTTCACTAAAAACCTTATTGGAATATTCTTAAACAATTCAATAAAGTAAGTCTTTTGTATTAAAAAACTAGCCCTAACTGGTCACACATTATATGAGACCAGCAGACAACCAACCTGTAGAGTAAAACAATTTTGCCATCTGACCCATCTCGATTTGTTCCTGTATCGCATAGTATTCCCCGACAGTTCTTTCAATGACTCCATCTGTTGAGGGAGAAATTATTCACAATTTCTTTAAAAGGAAAAAAGAAATGATTGAATAAATCATAAAATGAATAATAGCAGTTAATCATTACAGTTTAGGTAGAGGGGAAAAAGGCCAGAATCTTTTATGATATTCACTGTCACGCACGCACACTCACTCACTATGTAACAAAGAAACCTATTGAGCTTTATAATCTTCTTTAAGTAAATTAAATAATTCTTGCCATTCTATCTTCATTTCACTACATTCAACTTGAAACTTCTTTTCCAACTCATATTTTTATCTTTTACTTCCACTCTCCTTCTGTCTTGATATAAAATTTTAAAAATCCTTCCATTTGCAACATATTTGCATCTTTCATTGCATCTTTATTCTCGTATACCATCTACATTTTCATTCCTATTCCTTCTTCCCTTCTCCTTTATAATTTGCACTTAATTCCCCTCCATTTCTACAACATTCTGAACAATTCTATTTCCTCAGTTCCATCTTTTCTCCCATTTCCATTCTAAGACCATTTTCCCTTCAAAAGCAACCCTATTTCTCCCTCTACTTCTATCTGGCCTTCAATCCTCTCTTCTTCTCCTTCCCAATTTCTCCCTTTTCCTCTCACCTGTGATTAGTGGAAGCTCTTCATCGTGATCGTCATGGTCTTCGGAGGTGTCGGTCGATCGCTGGTCAGCTTCTGCGTTTTCTAGCGTACGGCTCACAAGTTCATCAGCTACCTGGCCCCTCTGAGGATCATTGAAGAGAAAAAGATTATATGGTTACAATGCACAGAAATATTAATAATCATATAATGACACACAACCAATGTTCCTTTTATACTATTTACATACAGCATATGATTCTGTATATCTCTATACAACGTATGATTTTTATCTCATTTTCTAAAGATATATGGAAAAGACAGTTAACCAGTAAATCTAAAACCACTTATCTACCTTGCCTCAGCCATCAAAATTTCTGATAATAGCCAAGCATAAACAAAAACAAATTTTAAAAAATCATTCACCACTTCCATATGTGGAAAATGACTGAGACAACATGAAAGCGAGTTTGTGAACTGAAGACTCAGTTTCATACAGGTTTTAATGTATTACTTTATTCCAGTGTTCCTATATTCTTGTAGTGTAAACCTTCAAATATGAGGCCAAATAGGGCTCAGTGTTATGTTATGGGTGAAATATGGCTTAGATTATATTTCCAAAGATTGACAGATTTATGAAGAGTTTGCACATTATTCACAAAATAATGAGAAAAATTCATTTCATAAAAAAAAAACTAGAACAGAGAAACAACAATAAAATTGATGTATAGTACAGCAAACAAATTTCAGCAAAATAAGGAGATAGCTGAAAGCAGATTAAAGAATTGAAAAAATATAATAAGAGCTGTCATTTTCCTCAAAGCAGTAACTGAACAAAATGTATTATATATTTATCTTCTTATTAATCACTATTTTCAAGGCATGTAAAAAAGGCAAGCAAAACCATTTACATAACTTACTTATATGACAATATGTAACATACAAAAATTTTAATGATATATATATATTTTTTACAGGCAGAGGTCTACCCCTTTTGACTAAACTTTATGCATTCTGCTCAATCTGGTTAGTAAGTCTGATTTCGAGAAGTTCCTCTAAGAGAGAAATGTGTTTTACACATTCTCTTACTAATACAACACATTATGTGGCCTCCCCACTTTTTGGTATAATGGAAATCTCATCGAAAGAAGTAACTGCAAATTCAATTTAGTCAAACTGCAATTTGTTTGTATTTATTGAGAATCATGTAGAATGAGCAGACTTGTTTTATGTAAAGCTTTTCCTCTTAACTCTCCTTGTCATAAAAGTATTAATCCATCAGCATGTAAACACAATTAATAAACTAAAATCACAGTGGACATGGCATGTATACCACCCAGTACATCCCAGTACAGTGGCTTAATGTCGGCTTTATATCATTAGCATGAAGGTCTTTGCTGAAAGACTGTCTTAAGAATTATGAAAAACAAACCCATGAAAACTTTGTACCAATCAAAACCAAGCAACAGCAATTCACTTCTACACTATGAGGCTATACAATGGTATAGCCTGATTTCACTTCCATGTTAATTTTCTCTTTTTTTCCAAAATATATAAGCGACTTGAAAAAGGCATTTTGGATATATCAAGCTATACCTTGTCACAAAGTATCAAACAAATAACTAAACTGAAAGTAAATATGAAAAATGCACACTAGTTGTTGAGATATGACATGAATATAATCCTTCTTTACATTCAATTACATGCAACTTGCTAAATCAGTTAAGCAAGCAAGCATGAAAAGAGCTCTATAACTAAATATTGTTTTTTGCAAACAACATTTATTACTCTATCAGTTCGACAATCATCTGCATTCTGAGGATTACAAAACATCGGTAACAAAAAATGCGTCATGCAGGTCTGAGGATTACAGTGAGAAAAAGTAAAGAGAAATAGAGAAATAAATCTGAGAAAACTGAAAGTGCGAAATCTAGCAATGTATACAAAACAAAACAAACAAAAAAAAAAAAAACAAAAAAATAATAAAAGAAGAAGAAGAAGAAAAAAAAAACATTAATGCCGAAGAAATAGAAAGATAGTTGAAGTTGTAGAAAGAAAAAAAGAAATTATTCACTCTCATTCAAATTGTTCTCAAAAAGTGTCCCAATGACCTCATCTTCAGTCGCAAATGGTAAGAACTGTGGTGGAAAGGGCCTTGTTTGTATGGAAAATACTACACGTATGAGATGACTTGCACACATGCCTCTGAGTGTGTGCGTGTGTATGTATGTGTATTACCCCACCCCCTTTCTTTCTACCTCTCTCTCTTTCACTCTTTCTCTTGTGTGTATATGTGGGTGTGTGTGCATGTGTGTGCTTGTGCATGTGCTTACTTTACTTTGAATAATTAAACAACAAAGATAAAAAATAATGTATATGGAAATGTAAACCAAAACGAAAAAAAAGTAACATATCAAAGTTTAAAGCAAATAGCAGATTTCTATAATTTGTCAAAAAATATGTTAACTGAAATTTTAAATCTTTCCTCTTCTGTTTTATGAAATCTAAATGCAGTCAATGTAAGATTTCTATTTCTGAATAAGGGAAACAGCATAAAAAGTTCTAAAACAGATACTGTCCCCTTTAATTCCAAGTTCACCACTCAGAACTACTAGTGTGTGAACCCCCAGTTTCTGAAACACATAGCCAATTAGCGAATCTTAAGTACAAAATTTAAAACTGGTAGTTTATACACAGATAACACCAACTTAGCCACGGAGAGGACTGTGTATTTGAAAATGATGCTGTTGACCTATCTTATGAAACATTATTCTTTCATAATCTTGATTGAAATGTCAAATCTTAACTTTAATCAAAGATCCATTGAAAAAAGAGAAAGAGATGAACATGATTTGATTACATAATGTAAACAACATACAATTATACATTGTACACAACATAAACCACAACACAAGCCTTATTTTCAAAGTTACTACAGCTCAAATAGCAAAAAGCAAACACCAGCGAAGCAAAACTCATATGGAAAATCAAAATCAATAAAAAATGAACGCATAACACCCAAAGGAAGAAATATAATGAAATGAGCAGATGAAGTGATGCCCTACCACCTCTGTCGACATGTTCATTCCCTTGTCATTCCCAATGTTCTCAAGTCTAAAGGCAGTTGACCACATTCACCACCCTTTTCCTCCTTTCCTACGTATTTTACCACTCTTTCTTACCTATCTACTCTCTTTTTTTCTACTTCCTTCCCATTTTCCTTCCCACTTTTTTTCCTTTTCTTCTTTTCCTTCTTTTGTTAATCTTGTGAAAACTCCCTCTGCCCTCCATCTTTTGCAAGTAAAACGTATTGATTTATTCCTTGATATTTAACAAGCAGAAAGAATAGCCGCAGCTGAGGCTCCTGCAACATCTTAATCATGTTGCATATCCTCTACCCAAAGGAAGTTCAGGAAAGTTCGCTCTAAAATATTGAAGACATTGCTAAAAACATGCGAGTAGTGAGAACTGCCAGTGCTGCTGCTATTAACTTTATATTATCTTAGGGGAAATGATATAGATATATAACAAATTTGTACATGAATTCAGACAAATGCATACGTAAAAAGGAAAAAAATGCAACTTGCACACTGGAACAACATTCACATCTCGTTGGAATTAAAGGGGATTGTTATTAGCATTAACAAAAAACAAAATAATGCCATGCTCTTTATGCCAGTGCAAATATAGCCTGACATCTTAATTAAAAGAAATCATAACTAAAACTTTGTCATAACTATTATAGAGCTCAAAAAATTATTTGGAAGGACTGAATTTCACTTTTATTACTATCAGTAAGGAGCAATAATAATTTTAAAATGTGCATGTGACCCCCCCCCCCCTCCACACACACACATCACATTCTCTCACAAAACTCACTCTTATCACTCTCATTCACACTTACTAACTCATTCTCACACTCTCACTCTCATGCATGCATGCATACATATAGTCCATACAAAAAATATGTATAATTTATTCCCAAGACAGAGGA